TAAACAAAATACAAAAAAACAAAAACAAAAAAACAAAACCAAAATGAAGGCACTGGGCTTCTGATGTCATGTGTACAGAAAAGTTTAAAATAGAGCTGAGACTGGGACCCTTAGAAAGGCCGGTGTGCAAGGCTGGCTCTTGACAAATATCTGGGTAGTTGGATTGGTCAGGAGGATTCCTACCGTTCCCTAAGTAGTTCACAGTGCCTAAGCTCTTTGTGCAAAGTGATTTATCCTGAATATCTCTTTTCCTTCTGAGAATCTCTAATTTTGGTACATGCCAGGCAGAGAATGCCTAAGTAACTGGCCTCCAAAAAAAACCCTAGGGCACAGAGTCTCTGATGGTGACACTTCACACGTGTTACCACAATTCAGTGCCAAAGGAATTCGGTACACTGTGATTCCACAGGGAGAGAACTTTTGGAAGCTTGCACCCAATTTCCTCCTCCGGACTTCATCCTATGTACCTTCTCCTTTTGCTCATTTTATTTTGTATCCTTTCAGTTAACAGATCAGTTGTTGGGTACTCCTAGGGAATGAAAGAACATGGAACAGCTTTAGGAACCCCCAACACACGAAACTGAAACAGCACGGACCTAATTAAGTACCTAACATCCGATGAGGGCGTGGTCCACAAAATCAATTGTGGGAATCTGTCTCCAGTAAATAGAGTTTGCTGAGGAAAGCCCCTTTAATCAACTATAATGAATAATCACTATCATGTCTATGTAACAGCATCCAAACCTGGTCTTCACCTTTACTGGTTCCACAGCCAGAGGGTCCACATTGCTGTTATGGTCTTCCTTCATGCATACCTTTTCAAAAGGAAATGTTTTATTTTTTAATGCCTCCACAATGCATTTATACCAATGTTGTTATGAATTTATACTTAAAGCACAGCATGCGTTAACTACAATTGTTAAAATTCGCCCAATTCTTTGTATATGCAAAACCACCAGAGAATTTTTTGGTTTTGCAATTGGCTTCCAGAGACCATACCTTAATTTTGATCTTATATGCCAGATGACAATACAGAACATTCAGAGCAGCTTAACTGCAAGGGATAATTACTTGGTACTTTCCTAAATTCCATTGTAATTTACTGCTTTGGTACTATTCCATGAAAAACTGAAGCATAACTTAAATGGAAGAATATGGGGGGGGGATGAAAAATGCGAAAATGCTATAAAATGTTCCTTGCCAAGGAAAACCACTATGAAAAAGGATCCCTTTACACATTATCTATGTATGTAGATACATACATTCCCACAAACACACTCACAAAGACTTATGTGTGATTATGCTATGAAGGCTACAATCTATGATTTCTCAAAGCCCGTATGTTTCTCCTCTTGTCACAGATATCTGCCATAATCTTAATGGCTTCAAGTTAATATATGAATATTCAAAATTCAAGTTCCTACAGATGTGCACTTATTCCTATTAAAAAATCAGTGATATCATCAATGTGGTGCTCATCTTCTTGGTATTTTAATCTCATAATGTTAACTTCTGATTATATGATTTCCAAATCAGAGATGTACAACCTATATTCTGACATATACTCCTTTCCGAGAACCGTGCTTTAGTGCTGCCAGTAGGGAAAAGCATGTATCAATTTCCCCTCAAAAATACATTTGATCAGGGGTGCCTGGGTGGCTCAGTTGGTTAAGCGTCCGACTTCGGCTCGGGTCATGGTCTCACAGTTCGTGAGTTCGAGCCCCGCGTCGCGCTCTGT